TTTATCTTCACCCCTGTCCGTTTCATTACATCAGAGACATTTCTTAACAGACTGATGAAATGCAATGCACCCGCAGAAGCAGATGGAACCGTTTGTCCCCTCCAAGCCAGTGTTCCGGCAGACAGCGGTAACCAAACCACTGCCTCAGAGATTTACTGTACATCCTAAACTCATGTCAACGTTATGGCAAATCTGATGGTCTTTATTTCTCTCGTACTACCTGTCTAGTAATTAAAAATGTGTATCATTTTTTCCAGGGGAACAAATGTCTTTGTTACTGAGACATCCAGACCAGCCTGAAAGGTCAAAGGTCCTAAAAGTGGCCATTTTGGGTGCTCCAAATGCTGGAAAGTCCACGTTGTCCAACCAACTGCTTGGCAGAAAGGTATGAATTTTTGCTGCCTTTTTTTTAAAACACTCCTTTTAATATCAGTGGTGAAAAGAAAGGATGGCGTTCGCTTTTATAATAGGCTCTAATTTCATATAGGTGTTTGCTGTGTCAAAGAAAGTCCACACCACACAGTCCCGTGCCCTTGCTGTCATCACAGAGGATGACACACAGATAGTAAGTGTTTTCTGATGCCTTTGTTAAAAGGGGAAAAAAAAAAACAAATGCTAAAGACTGTGCCTATGTTTGTGTTGTTCGCAGATTTTACTTGACACTCCTGGGATCATCTCCGCATCAAAAGTAAAAAGGTCCATTTCCTATTTTCTTTTTTAAAATTTGTTTTAATTATCAAAAATAAATTCAAAACCTTGATGTATAAATAGATCTCGCATTTCCACAGACATAATCTGGAGAAGTCTTTGCTTGTGGATCCATGGGATACAATTAAAGAAGCTAATCTAGGTGGTCTATATGTTTTTATACTAAGCCAATAGCTTGTTAACATTTTTCAAAACAATTTAAAAAAAAAAAAGATTACAGCTTTAAAGGTCCACTGTTTTATCCTTTTCAGTGGTCGTGGTGGTGGATGCATCTGACAAGTGGACCAGCAACAGGCTCGACTTTGAGATGCTGAAGTGTTTGGCCCAGCACAAACATATCCCAGCAGTTCTGGTCCTCAATAAGGTATTCTTTCGTCTAGTCAACAGCCCTCGGCCTGATGAGAAATTAGTTAAGTCGAAAAAAAATACAGTACATGCACATTGTTTTAAGTCACCGTTGACGTGGATAGAGAGCCTTGTCCGCCTAAATTCATTATAAATATTCTGAATTTTAAAAAATTAATCAACTAAATTACATACATTAAAAGACTAGTAGTGTTTGTTTAAATTACATACATTAAAAGACTAGTAGAAGATATTTCATCCAAAATATTGAAATAGCGCTGTTGTTCATATGTGCTACGTTTGTGCTGTAAAAAAAAATTAGTTTGTGCTATTAAAGATTTGGAGTAATTAAAAAATACATTTTCTGACCTGTGACGTCACGCGTCCCCCCTCGTGTGACCAAATCTCTCCAAACTGGCCTCCATCATCCAATATAATAAAATGTACATGTTCGTTATTTTCACACTGACAGCCGCTTGAGGGTACTGGTGCAACTTATACTCCGAAGCAACTTATATATGTTTTTTTTTCTTCATTATGGATTTTTTGACTAGTGTGACTTATGCTCCGGAGTGACTTATCGTCCGGAAAATACAGTACACACTTGAGTTTGTCGGCTCTGACAGTGTTATCACGTGTACCTGCCGGTGTTGAGAATACTTAGTTCATTGTTTTTCGCCATGTTATAACCATTCAGACGCCATCAGGAACACCTGAGTTTAGAAAACTTCTACTCTTAAACACAAACAGCAAGTCTGCTGGAGTGCAGGAGCCACACATTTGCTGTAGGTTCCAACACAGTGGTCTCATTAGAATGTGAAAAAATGAATTCTAAAGTCATAAAACAATAACTCACACTTTCACACAAGGTGGTCAGGTTGATCTCTTCTGTAATGTTCATTTGTGTCCTAAGGTGGACCTGGTGAAAAACAAGGAGAGGCTGCTGAATGTCACCTCAGAGTTGACATGTGGAATTGTAAATGGGCGCAGGATGCAGGTCAGGCCTGTCATCAAGCCTCCGTGGGCCATACAGTGGTCTGAGAAGGACGAGGACACAGAGGAGGAGGAGGAGAGCACCGATCTGAACATATCTCTGAGCAATGAAGAACTGAGAACGCTCAGAGGACAACAGGGATGGCCTCACTTTAAAGACGTCTTCATGCTCTCCTCGGTGGACGCAGAGGATGTGAAAACGCTGAAGGTAATAGTAATAGTTTTTTATGAAAAACAAAAACTATTACTTATTATTATTACTTATTACTTATTATATACTTAGTTATTATTATTATTATTACTATTACTTATTATTTAAGTAATACTTATTATACTATTATATTATATATTATATTATTATTATAATTATTAATTAATAATTATTAATAAGAATAATTATTAATTATTAAAAATTATTATTATTATCAGTTTTTTTTTTTATAGTTTTGGTATGAGGGTTGCTTGGTGATATCACGAACAAAACCAGTGGTTTTCAAAGTGGGGTCCACCATATGGCGCTAAGGCAGTGCTTCTCAATTATTCTCTGTCATGCCCCTGCTTGGGGACAGAAATGTCCAACTGCACCCCCCCCCTGCAAATTGAAATACTATTGAGAACCTGATAACATTATTATATTTTTATCTGTACAAACAACTGTATGAGTTGCTGCCACCTAGTGGCTGGAGGCTCGTTATTATTCAAGCCTTGCAGCAGTGGTACACTTATGTCCAGTGTGCCATATTCCATTGAGTAGTACTACAATAAGGGGACCTTTTGTCATTCCCTCCAAGGACTACTTCAAGGTTGCTGCTAAGCCCGGCTCATGGCTGTACCACAGTGAGGTCCTGACTGATCTGAGTCCAGAACAAGTCTGCGTCAACCTCATCAGGGAGAGGCTCCTTGAGATCCTGCCGCAGGAAGTGCCTTACTCAATGACACAGGTAATCAAAGAAGCAAATGCAGCACGATCAGTCATTGTTGATTGATTTTCGCTTTTGACCATTCAGTGTCGTTGTTTCCAGGTTGTGGATCTTTGGCACGAGGGAGAAAACGGTGCGATCATCATTGCAGTGAAAGTGTGGGCCAAAAAAGATGCTCATGTGGTAAACGCCTTTTCTTTTTACGTATTTACAGACGGGACTGACCCTCGTGGCGACCTTTGGGTCAGCCCCGGTGGCTGATTGTGTGTGCGTTTGTCTGTGTCTGTGTGTGTCTGTCTGTGCTCCTGTACTGCGCGGCTTGTGCCGAATTTTCCTGATACTCAGAAAGTGTCTGATAATGACGTGTACTTGAACACTACGATGTAGTCTGGGGTTGATGGTGTGTAATATTTGATCATTTTTGTAGTAGTTTTGGGATATCTTTATGAATATTATAGCAATAAGCATTTATTAAATATATATATATTTCATAGAAATAAGACATGGGACATAGTAACTGAGCATCCCAGGGTTCTGTATTCTTGTGTTTACAGCGGATGCTGATCGGCCCAGGCGGACAGACCATAGCACAGATTGCCAAGGAAGTCAGCGGCGACCTGAGACGCATCTATCTGAGAGAAGTTGACCTGAAACTCGGAGTCAAGCTGAGGAAATAAACAGACCAATGGAACTTTGTACAAACAATAGGAACTTAAAAAAAAACCATGAGACTGAAGTGAAGTTATAACAATTTTGAGCTTGTCTCCAGAGTCTGAGCTTGTCCGTTGTCCAGCAGAGATTTTAATGTAAGGATAATTTGTACGTACGTAAGATGTTATCAATAAATAAATGAATTAATAAATATTGGGTTCCATAGTGTAACCGTTAGCATACCTGCCTCAGAAGCAGAGAGCAGAGTTCGATTCCCGGAGGAACAACATACTTGATTGTTTAATCTTCCTTCTGTAAGTCGCTTTGGCTGAAAACCAAAGTCTGCTTAATGCATAAATGTAAAGTATAAATGCGTATGTCATGAAACATTAATACAGATATTGCTAAGCATAATTCATGTGTTATAACCATAACTGATTATAAACGTGATGTGAGTAGAGTGTGTGAAGTACAATTTCCAATTTCTTTCTTTTTTTATATAATGCCAAACTCTGCCTACGGGGGCTGGATTGTCTCCTTAATAGAAGGCAAAATAGAGCACTAACCTGATGCCAAAAATAGGCCAGATAATGGTGATTAGATTCATTCCCGCTGCCTGTGAGTTAATTCGACAGCTACTCTATCCAGGGCAGCGTGATGAATAACCTCCCAGTGGCCTTAAGCAGGGGTGATGGGAGAGAGAGAGAGTGTGGGTGAGGAGGTGGAGGAGGCACCCCCCGTCAAGCACTCGCCTGCTTCCCCATGATTAGACAAAGCCAAGTGCACAGAGGTCGGCGTTCAGATAAGCCAACTGACCCGAGCAGCACACGTAATAACTCGAATCGTGGCGATACGATCAAAAAAACAAACGTGTTGGAACGATCGGCTTTATTTCACATTTCACGAGCACATTTAAAAGGCATACGGCTGAAGACATGCACACAGAGAGAGTCTCTCCCCCGTCGCGATGCTCTGGATGACTTTGAGGAAGGGCCATATAACCCTTACCATTACTAAAACTCAGTAATGGTAACGGTTTGACGGCCCGCCTCTGCTGTGAGTCCGTCCTGCCGTCTGGTTAGGCCTGTCTTTTTCCTGATAAAGTCAGAGCAGGAATTAAACCCTGGGTAGTACCTCATCTATACTTTAGTGTCTCTATGATGAACTTACAGTATAAGATGATATCCTGTCCAGGGTGCAAGACATACTCGTGAGGAGTTTGTTGCTGCGACAAGTAGCAAATTATACATCATGCAAACCATTGGTCATAAAAAAAAATTTAAAAAATTTTTGTGAAATGTTACTGCTAAAAGTGTAAAAAAAAAAAAAAAAAAAACATTTTGTGAAATGTTACTGCTAAAGTATTATTACTTGAATATACAGAAAAATAAAACAAATGCAGAAATGGATCGAATATATATACAAACCTTAGGAATACAAATATCAAATGAGAAGTGCTAATTATAAAAAGATATATCTTCAGTTATGTTTTACCACCAACACGCTCACCTTATTCTGTCGCGTTGTGTTCACTTCCTTCTTTCCAAGTGGCACTCTGGCCCCTCTGCAGAACTTAAAGGCCTTCTGCTTCATTAACATATTGTTGATGACATCTGGGATGGACCAAACAGCATGGGCTGAACCTCTTATCTGGTTCGGACCTGCCTGACTGTCTCTGTCCACTTGTGTCCACACCCTTACTACACCCAGGCAGACTCACAGCGTCAACTGTCAACATGTTTTTCAATAAAGATACGCGCTGCTACCGTAACGAAAACAACACACTGCTATTGAGTTTTTAGAGTAGCACTTTATTTATTTATTTATTTACTTATTTATTACATTTACATTTACATCTGAAAACAGAGGGAATGTAAAAATGGGCCAATTGGAGTCGGGGACCGCTACTCTAACGCACGGGTCAAACTGAGGGAGCGTGAAATTGTTTAATTGTCTTTTAATAAAGTCCATGTTGCTGAGTTTCTTAACCTGATCAAATTATTTTTTTTACTACACAGAATAATGTACAATATTCGTAACTTGAATAAATAATAATTCATTGCAGAAACATTATAAAATACGTTATGAATATGTTATATGAGTAGTATTGCTGACGTGGTCCCTGGTGAAAATGGGTTTGACAATCCCCTGCTCTACTGCTCATGGCAGAGGAATTAACATCAACATTAACATCATCTGTAGTTTATCAATACTTTCGGACATTCAAAAATCCAAATGACGCAAAAACTCACTAGCTATAGGACACACGGCACAAACAAAGAGCAAGGATTAACAGGGTATGACCATGAACCGACCAAGTCCGGGGGCCAGTGCCGATCAGTAGGTCATTTGGTATCGGGCCACGGTGAAAAATGTACTTAATTCAAAAAGAATTCAGTCATATCCCTTTACTTTTTTCATTAAAAGATAATCTGGCAATGTTTCAAAACAACAGGTCACAGGTGTCAAACTCCGGGGGCCAAATCTGGTCCGTGTTGTAATATTTGGCCCACCATTATATAGCCGACATATACTGGTGGGATTTTTAGTATTATTTATGTACGCACTATAATAAAGTGCTTATGTTTTTGGTTGTTTTGTTGTTAGCTGTGTAAAAAGATTTACATTAAAAAGGAACTAAAAGGCTAGAGAGAAACAATAAGCAATGAATATCATTATTTAAAATTACATTTCTCATGTAATAATATATGATATATTATATATGATATGATATATATGACATATATATCATATATATATGATATATATATATATCATATATATATCATATATATATCAGATATATATATATATATATGTCATACATATATATATGATATATATATGATATGATATATATCATATATATATATCATAATACCTCGGTTTCCGAACTCCTCTTTTCGAACAATTCAGTTCACTAACAAAACTTTTAACCAAAAACTGCCTCATCATAAATCACTATGGAACAGAAAATAGTAAGAAGAAAAAAAATGAAGAAATGAAGAAAATGTATACGAAAGCGTGAGAACGGCGCTCGTGTTTCAGATCTTTCTTTTCCGGTACGGCTTGGTAAAGGCGTCGATTTGTACCATTATTAAGAACAAGGAAGCAACATAAGAAGCTAAGGTTGCCAAAGGAGAGACTGTGATCACCAAGCAACGATCTCAGACATTAGAAGAAGTGGAAAAGTTGCTACTGATTTGGATCAACAAAAGATGAATGAAATTGCCTTTTCTATTTATAGCTTTATTCTTCATTCCGTTGAGTTTATCTTTTTGGTTAAATCGAATTATTTTCATTGATTTCGTGGATGAACCTCTACACAAAATCCTGTTGAAAAAAAGTTTGAATAAGCAATCATCCAGGGTCCAGGAATGGATTAATCCATTTTACATTGATTCCTATGGAGAAAATTCTTTCAGTTTTCAAACTTTTCAGTTCCCGATCAGCCTTCAGGAACTTGAATTAAGTTCGAAAACCAAGGTTCCACTGTACAACGAGTTTGTTCCAGATTTAATGTTTACGCAATGCTAAAGTTTGGTTCCATATGAAAAAGCATTACACATCTGGAGAGAAAGGAAAACATGCACATTTCCAGTCAGTTTTTACGGAGAGTTCGTGTGAACTAAGATAAATGACATGTAAAAGTCATGCATAAAGATTAAATGCTTTAATCATTTTCTACACCGTCTATTGGGGAAACCTGGGAAAAGGCAGAAGTAAAATGATAATATAAATAAATAATATAATTTAGAACATTTTGGTGGGCCGGATTACAAAACTGAATGGGATGCATCCGGCCCCCCGACCCTTAGTTTGCCCATGCCTGGACTAGAACAATAAACTCATGGTCAACTCCAAAAATAGTATGATGGTATTTAAATGGTATTTATTATTGGATGTGCATTCTCTCTAAGACAGGGTTACCATGTGAATGACATTAAAATACAGGTATCAAACTCAGGCCCGTGACACCCCTGCATTAAAACGTCTCACCTGTTTCTGTTTTAGAATAATTCGTTTTTTCCGACATGAAAATTTAGCAAAACAAATGTATAAACATAACATAGAAAACCCCTGTGGTACATTCTTTATTTAAGAAAAATACCAAAATAAAATATGAATCCCTTTCGATTAGCATCACAAACCTTAGTAAAAATACCGACCTAATTGATAATTAATATATATTCTCATATATTTCCTGACGTCTGTTCGTAATAGTGCTGTATTCACAGCAATTTCCCTTTAAAATACACAATAATACCAACACAAGTCCTTATAATATAAACTGTTTTTTTTTTTTTTTACTGTTCATTCTTAAAACTGTAATTTAAACCACATTACTGGGTTGTTATTGTCATATGTTTATATATTTTTAATCAACAGATGTGTGTACATGAAGTGAGTAAGTTGTCGGGTGTGTGTGGGGGTGTGGCAGTTGTCATGGCAGCACTGCCTTCTAAGGGTGTGAGAGGTCCTGCTGTAGGACCAGATAAAGTTAGACCCCAGATTATCAGGATGAACAACCACCTCTGCTTTCGCCGCACATTACACTTGCATGTCAAGATAAGTATTTGAATCTTTAAAGAAAAAACAACAACAACATACTGCCTGCTGCCCCATCATCAGGGTGTCAAACTCATGTTCATCGGGGGGGGGCGGTATCAGTAAATGAAAGACTACAGATCTAACTAGTCCATAAAGTATTAATACAGGTTTCTACAATTGATTATTATTTTTTTCAAGTTACAAAAACAGTGAACATTGCTCTGTGTTATAAAAAAAAAAGATTTATCAGTTTCAGAAACTTAGCAGCATGGACTTAAAAAAAAACATCACAGGAATCCTTATTTACTATCATTTTTATGTGTGTTTATGTACGTCTCTACAGCTATTAAAATCCCTTTGGCTGGGATTGCGACTTATACTCAGGAGCGACATACTACATATTAAAATACATATTTCCACTTGTTGTTATTTTCACACTGACAGCCGCTAGAGGGCGCTCTAGGCTTGTGTACCAGTATCTGCGACTCCTGTACCACTGTAAATTTACATACTCGTTATTTTTCACACTGACAGACGCTAGAGGGCACTCTAGGCTTGTGTACTAGTATCTGCTGTACACAAGCTGGTACTGCTGTACCACTTAAAAAATGTGTTGACATGTTCGGATTGTCACACTGATAGCCGCTAGAGGGCACTGGTGTGACTTATACTCTAGAGTGACTTATATGTTGTTGTTTTTCTTCATTATGCATTTTTTGGCTTGTGCGACTTATACTCCGACTAATAGTCTGGAAAATACAGTAGGCAACATTTTTCCACTAGTTCATTTGACCTGTTCACGAACCTCAAACACATTATTGTGAGTTCACACTAAAATCCATACATTTGAAATAAAACCTCTTTCAGCTTAGACCTGTCTGATAATAAATAAAATATTACTTAAACATTCCAAAAAATGCCTAAAAAGAAATTCTCTATTTCTAGTGTTCAAAAGAGATTGTGTGTGTATAGTGGTACGCCGTAAAAACACAACCCTGAAATTATGTGTGGAAAAAACAGTGAGAAGAGCAAACAGAAGTTGGTACAACATTTATTATATCGCTACGTACAGAACAATACAGAATACCATGAACACATGCTGAAAAATTCATGCTGGGTCTATTTAACAAAGGCCAGAAGCCACATGATAAATACCTAGCTGAAGTGTTGCTGTAGATCTGAAATGTTTGGTCTTAAACCACACCGTTGTCGAGAACAACAAGCTGACATTTTTTTCACATAAAAAAATACAAATCAGGGAAAAAATGTATTTCTAACGCTTAACGAGAAAATCAATTATGTCGAGAACAACAAGCTGACATTTTTTTTCACATAAAAAAATTAGAAGATTCTGATTTGACGCTATGGTTAACTTCATAATCCGTGTATATAAACATATTTGTCTTGCTCTCTTATACGTTTGAAGTACTGAATGAAAGAAGTTCTGAAGGAATCTTTACACGTTAGCATATACTAAGTTCACACGTTCTGCGGGTCAGTCTACACCCTGCGGTAAATGAATTTCTATTTAAACTACACATTAATAGTATTTAGGAATTTCACACTATGTAACAAAGGCACCACATAAAATAATCAAATCACTTTTTTCCCCTCATTAGAGTAACTTTGCAAAGTAACACCACTGAGAGGTTTCCACAACAGTATCTGTTTTTCAGAGTTTCAAAGTGAAAGCACTGGCAAGGTGAGTAGCCGCTCAAGTGTGCGGGCGAAGATGTCGCACCTGTCAATCACAGATCGTGCAGTGACATGAAAATGTTGGCATCAGTCTCTCTCTCTCTCTCTCTGTGTGTGTGTGTGTGTGTGTGTGTGTTAGAGCCTCAGCAGAGTGAAGTGAAGTGAAACGAAACAGTGAAGTAAACGGCAGAGAGCTCTGCCCCGGGGGCTACACTTTCACAGTGTGAAGACATGTAACAATGATTTTACGGTGAATTCATTCATGGTCAAATCAAAGTGTTGGCCTTCGGTGACTGATGATATTAGTCGCTACACCAAAATGTTAACATATTACGGGCCTTTTTAAAATGGTAGCTAAGGAGCAGGTTGTTCACTGTGTTTACAAGGAACTGGGCAGCATTGTACTAAGAATTCACAGCAGCACAAACACAACGGAAGAACGCAGAAAAGGCGACGAGACAATGTTGGGATTATGACGGTTTAAAAAAAAAAAAAAGGTAACAAATTAAAATACTAATAACCTTTTAAGATCACAGGCACTGACGAGTGGTTGATTCATATCAGCCGTCTGAGTTACCGGACGGGAGACTTAAAAAAATGAAAACAGCACTTTTAAGTCTAATTGCGTGAAACAAGCTGGTTGGAATGCTCTGCAGCAAAACACTGTAACAAAAATGAACGATTTGACTGGTAACAATAATAAAAAAAAAAAAATAAGGCTCATTTAGCTGTTAGGAGAAACTAGACAAGTTAAAATCCTGAAACATCTTGACATTGCCATCTAGTGGATGATATTTGAGGTACATCCTTATTCAACATTGAAAACGATGAATAGAACGCTGGTCCTCTAGTTTTACTTTAAACAAATTGTACCTCATTCTTCACTGATCAGAGAGACTACACAAGGTAACAACTTGTGATGATAATGTTCCTGATTGACCTGAATTTGGACGTGGCACTGTTTCACCTGTTTCCTACCAAAAAAAACAAAAACAAAAACCCATTCACACTAACATTCTCTAAAAAGCAAAAAAGAAAAACCAATCACACTAACATTCTCTAAAAAGCAAAACAAAAAACAAAAAACACTTTCAACAGTATAATCAATCTTATCACAGATCAATTCTTCTTCTTCTCACCAAAGTAGCTGCTATGTTATGTTATGTGGTCCAAGGTAAAACATAAGTTTGAAAAGACAAAACTATTTTAGTATGGTTGTTACTCAAGGTCACAACAATGTACACACCTACCACATCGAGGGACCACGGATGCTTCGTCGAGAAAGAACAGTGTGATACGAATAACCAGTGAGTTAAAGCTAGGACCCTGCATCTACTATGTGCTACTTGAGGTAATAAGAGAAATGTTCAGTTAGCCTGGCAGATGTCCAGGATCTCTTAAGGCTATTTTTTCTCCCCGAGTATGGCTCTGTGTTTGCTTAGCGTTTAAAATCTGCCTTTGTGATTGGATGCAATAAAACAGAAATGGTTAAATGGTGTTAGTAAAAGCAGACGATAAGAGAAACAGTATGCAATCTTACATGTTACACATTAGAGACGGGTGATCACAATAACAATGACACAAACTCAACTAAAGCCAAACCACTGTCCTAAGGTCTGGGCACTTAAGTGATCAACAGGCACGGCTCACGGAACATAAACAGAGGCAACCAGACCATGAGCAATCCAAACAAATCCAGAAATCTAATACTCTGACCCGCAGTCATTTTTCCTTTATATTTGATAAAGACAAGATGAGCCTTAGGTGTTACAGTGGTTTGGAAGTTTGTGAAGTTCTCTATGAGCTACAGAGGTGTCCAAGAAACAGATCATTAAAATCACAGAGTTGACATCATGCTCATCTGTACCAAGATCCTCCATCACATTGGGCTACCAATGTTGGACGATGTGTGTATGTATATATATGTATATATATATGTATATATGTATATATATATGTATATATATGTATGTATGTATATATATATGTATGTATATGTATATATATGTATGTATATATATGTATGTGTATATATACATATATATGTATGTATATGTGTATATATATGTATATATATGTATGTATGTATATATATATGTATGTATATGTATATATATGTATGTATATATATATATGTATGTATATATGTATATGTATATATATACATATATATATACATATATACATATATATATACATATATATACATATATACATATATATATACATATATACATATATACACATATATTTGTGTGTGTGTGTGTGTATATATATAAAATCATGTGTGCGTTCGCTATTAACCTGGATCACCCAGGTATAGTGTGATGATCCCTGTTGATGATGGTTGGCTACTCATTGGCCTGAGCCTATAATGGCAGGCATTATAGCTGGTGTGTTCCCATTCACCTAATGACTGGGACTGTCCTTCTGCAAAAACAACAGACCCAGCAGCCCCTCCAGAATAACAGAATTACAGTTGGAGTTTCGGTAAGGGTGAACATGACTGCAGAATGTAACCATGGCCAAAGTACTGCAGTGCGATTTAGAATCAACGCGTGTAAAACGGGAAGGTAAAACAACGCAACATCGCACAAACTGATTCGTTACAAGGCTCCAGCTTTCAACATGTTGGCAATTTAAAAAACTTTGCTAACATAAAACAATTGTGTTTTGTGTCAAGTACTCGTGGTCAAAGGCAGTTGCATAAAGGGGGGGAGGAGGGGGATAAAGGGGGACAGAGACATATAAAACTGTTTTCATGCTTGAGGCAGATACAAGTTGAAGGATTCGGAGTGATGAGTCTCTGGCCTGATTAATCAGATGGCTTCTTGGCACAGTGAGGAGGTCATCTTCTGGAGCAGAGGGATCTGTGACACCAAACGACAGACTGCTTACGGCCTGATATACAGCACTGACAAATATTCACATGTTGTACCCTTGGAAATAGGTTGTACGTTGTAAGTATGACACGGACATGTTTTAAATTCAGCTAGGCGTCTTTAAATCGTTATGTTGTCATGACTATGGTTACCAACATTAAAGTTATATAAATGAAAACTTTAATAATGTGGGCCCACATACCAGTTCATGGACAAATATTTTCAGGAGTGCTGTCGCTGATGCTTAACTATACAGCTCCGAGGAAAAAGTGTCTAAGCTAAACCCCCAAATATAGTGGCGGACACCAAGTACGTAACTGCTTTTGTTCTCATTAATAGAAGAAAAAAATTAAATTAAATTAGATCATTTTCATTTAATTAAAGATTAAAATAATTCGTACTGGATTTATAAAAATATGTTTTCAAACGGACACTGTCATCACATCAACAATATAAGAATAAAAATGAAGAGAAACACATTAGAGTGAATTTCATGACGACACAATGACACTGCCTCGTGTTTACCTGAAAAATAAGAATCAGTTACATAAACTGTGCTGCACTGTCTCTAAGTTTCAACAAAACAACTCAACACAAAAATCTCAAAAAATTAAAAAAAAATCTCAACATAACATATAAATGACGAGGTGTAAACGTATGTGTCTCTGTCCCTGTTGTTAAAATACCTCTTAATTGTTGACCTTCTTAAATACACTAAGGGCAAAAAGACACCAAAGTGCAGGAGAAAAGCACAGTATATTGGCTTACTGTGTCTGTGCTGCACCTCCGAGGATATTGGTGCATCCTTAGTTAAGCAAAAAAAAAAAAGAAAAAAAAAAAAGACTCAAACTCAAACAGAACCTTTTCTGTAAGTTTCATCTTAAGCTTCCTTTTGGGGATCTTTACCAGATCAATCTGGTGCGACTTTGAACAGATGTAACAGCTGTTTGTTATAAATGTTGTTTGAAACCATGTTGGTTTATTACCTATTACTACAAGACATATAAAAAAACCTAAAAACAGAATCTGCTAATAAATTAGCCAAGTTTTATCTATATCCTGCTCTGAACCCTTACCACGGTGATGTCAGTTTACATAGCCGGGCAACAGACACAACAACAAAATTAGCACTTGTCATAAATTGAGCACTTCCATCTCACCTTAGTCAGATCCACTCCAGTGAGGGCATTGACGGAGACGGGAAGCTCAGCTAACAGACGGTTCACTTCTCCAGTCACGCGGTTGCTGTCTCCACTCAGGATGATAATCTCATTGGTCTTAGACAGGGGTGCGGCCACTTTACCAGCAATCTGATTTATACAGATAAAAATCAACATGCTAATATTATACATACAGGTTAGTGTAAGAAAATGTATCACTTTTGTTTTATTCATTTGAATCAAATGAGCCATGTTAAAGAGAAAGAACATGTTTTATAATAGTTAGATTGTTTGTAAGTTTTTTTTTTTAAAAATAGAACATGTTTTATAATAGTTAGATTGTATAAGTATTTTTTTTAAAACGGCTAAAAACTTATTTTTACTCAGTACAAAGAGAAATATACATGCATAAGAATATACCTGTCTTGAAATAATCTTTCTGATTACTTGGAAACTAAATAATCACCTCGTAGCAATTTTTTTTTGCAATGTATTTTTTTTTTTTTTTTAGTCGCTGATCTGTCACTTAAATAAAACATTAAACGCCGAACACATTTACATTTTAGTCAGTGTTGGCAATAAATCAGTATTTGACAATCTGGGGTGGAGCTGTTCTAAAATGTGTGACACACACACACCTTCGGCAGAGCCTCCAGCACCAGAGCAGTCTTTGCAGCCTCTCCATACTGCTGATAGGCTTCAGCTTTCAACTTCATCTTCTCAGCCTCTGCCTTTCCCACAGCTTCAATGGAAGAGGCCTCAGCTTCACCAATACAGCGGATCTTCTCAGCTTCTGCTTGGGCCGTGAGCACCCTCTTTGTCCTATGGTCAGATTTGAGAGATATCATCAGAACAATTAAGTATTTATATGTAGTGGAGGGAAAACATCTGCCAAACATTTGTTCTGACAATCCAAATGAAGCATTTGTTCTAGACTTGATGTCAGTCATGGTTGTTGCATCAGCAACTAACTACTGTAATTTCCAGGTTATAAGCCGCTACTTATGTCACAGGCTTTGAACCCCTAAGCGTAAAAAACAATAATGGGGCTAATATATATGGATTTTTACGGGCTAACAACGTGCATACCGCTAGCGATCGATGACGTTTCTAGTAGGCTTCTGTGTGTTATACTAGTAGCGTATGTCTGTCTGTGAATGGCTGTGTGCGTATATGTACGCGAGAGAGTCATGTAGCGAAAGTTGAGTGCAGTTTATGCCCTGTGATGTTGAAGCGTGAGTTGGTTATACAGGAGCCGTTGAAACACTGTTTATGTTCCGTTGTGGTCGGTGTGGCTGATAATAAAGACCCCAACTTCCCTGTTTCTGTTTACCTCTGCTGCGGACAAGCACGAAGTGAAGGGAGTTAGCCCCGGAGCTAATGTTAGCATCAACCCTGGAGCAGATCACTAAGTCTCCCCTGGGCATTCCAACTATGGTCAGGACGCCGAAGCAGGAAAGAGCTAACGTGTAACCAGCAGTGTTACAGGGACAGTACTTAAATTTCATTTTGGTATATGACTTTATGCAGAGTTACTGTGTAGCTACTACAATCGCATGTATGTGTGATTGTCATTAATCTTTAGTCAAAGATGATTTTCTGTGGAATTGAAAAACTTGAAAAACTCACTTGTGTCCCTCAGCCAGCTGCTGCATCTTGTAGGCTTCAGCCTCGGCAGGTCTTTTCACAATAGCAATGAGCTCTTTGTCAGTACGATCAATTTCCTTCTCCTCAATAGTGATCTGCTTCTTCCTCTGCACAACCTCAATTTCTATCTCCTCCAGACGAATCTTCTGCTGCTCTTTGGCAGCCTGCAGCTCATACGCCAGCTGAGCCTCAGCTTTCTGCAGGAGACAGGAGATTTGTACTGTACCCATGATATACTGAGTTTAAAAAATGTTACTACGTGTTTTTATACATAAAAATAAGAACTGATTTGGTTCTGTTTTTAAACACCACATTTTCTTTTTGAATGTTGACACAATTATTCTGCAGTTGCAAAGGCTGACAACTGTATGGCAGTGTTGGGTGATTCTCAGGCGTCCACTGTAGAGGCTTACATGCAACACTGCCATCAAAACCTATTCTTATCATAGAAAATGACATTTTAATAGCTGTCCACTGTAGTGACCGTCATGCATGAAAGGGTTAATGTACAGTACCTTTGTGTTCACTTCCTGGTTAAAAGAGGCTTTCTGCATTTCCAGCTCTCGTTTGGAGTCTGCCATTTTTGTGTCTGCTAAAAACTTAATATCCATCATTTCTCTCTTGCACTCGGCCTCCTGAGCGACACAGCAATACAGAAAGATGGGTCAGGGGGATGTCTTGGTGTTCGTAATGCAATCGCAACTATGTGGAAAAAGCTGCTCAAAGCTCTTACCCTAATGCCTGCATCCCTCTCTGCCTCTGCAACTCCGATGTCTGCATCCCTCTTCACTGCAGCTGTTTGAGTTTTACCCAGTGAGCTCAGGTACTCCACTTTGTCATACACATCCTATCATAAAGACAAACACATAATACAACAAACTTAAAAAACACAACATTCAGCCATAAGGGTGACTAAAATATGTGTTGTTGTTTTCATTTGCAGACAGGAGACAGTCTCACACTTTTTTTTCTTACTTTTCCCTACCGTTGCAAGTTTTAGATGCCAGAGAGGAGACAGTAAAGCAGGGTAAAGTTTGATAACTGTGTTGTATATACTCCCAGTCATTAAAAGGACAGGGACAAAGAAGGAAGGAGGGTTGAATCATCTTACAGAGGAGCCTCAAAGGAGACGCCTACTTGTATATATATATATATATATATATA